CCTTGGCCCTTAATTAACCTTTTCTTGGTATAAAAAAAGTAAATGGAGTATTTTAGATTTTGTTTTTAAAAATTAGTTTTCACTTGCATATAGCCCTTTGATCCATCAAGTTCAGTGACTCTGGATAGAATTAAGCTGATCGAACTTAACTGAAATAAGCAACCCTCCCTTTCTCCACTCCTAGGCCAATTTAACCACCATTCTATTGGTAGTTTCTATGATCTGCTTTAGATACCCCATATTTTTGAAATCATATCACATTTAACTTTTTATAGCTGGCTTGTTTTACTTAGCATAATATCCTCAAGATTCATCCATGTTCTAGCAAGTGTAAGGATTTCCTTCCTTTTTAACAGTGACTAATATTCCATTGTATGTATATACCGTATATTGTTCATTTATTTGTTGATTTTTTGATTGCTTCTACCTCTACTATTGTGACTAGTGATGCTGCGAATATGGTTATGCACCCATCTCTTCTAGACCCTCCTTTCAATTTTTTTTTAATATTCCCAAATTGATATAGTTGGATCATATGGTAGTTCTATTTTTAATTTTTTGAGGAACTTCCAGGCTCTCTTAATAGAGGCTTCATTTTTTTATAGTCTCATCAACAGTGCAAAATTGTACCACAGTTTCACATTCCTCCACATTCTCACCAACACTTAATAATCTATTATTTTGGTAGCCATTCTAATGGGTTTGATGTGATTTATCATTGTGGCATAGATTTGCACATCTCCAATGATAAATGATTTTGTATACCTTTTCATATGCTTGTTGGTCATTTGTATATCATATTTGGAGAAATGTCTGTTTAAGACCTTTTCCTACTTTTTAATAGGATTATTATTTTTGGTTGTTGAGTTGTAGACGTATTTTTTCTATATTATTTAAGCAAAAATGCATCATGACTTTTCCAACAACCCAGTAATTTGCATTTTCTCCCATTTTGTAGGTTACTGTTTGCCTTTGTTGATTTCTGTCCTTTGATGCAAAACAAAAGTTCAGCTTTATGTAGTCCCATTTATGTATTTTTATTGCTTGTTGTAGTTTGGTATCATTTCCATATCATTACCAAGTCCAGTGTCTTGAAACTTTTTCCCTTTGTCTTATTCTAAGAATTACATAGCTTATACATAGTTTTAGGTGTTTAAGCTGTTTTTAATTAGGCATAAGAGTTCAACCTCATTCTTTTTGCATGTGGGTATTCAGCTTTTCCAGCACTGTTTGTTGAAAGACTTTTTCCTCAAGGGTTTTGACACCATTGTGGAAGGTCATTTGATCATCTGTGTGAGTGTTTGTTTCTGGTCTCTCTAGTCTTTTGCTTTGGCCTGTATGTCTGCTTTGGCCTATGTGTCTGTTTTTTTGTGCCAGTACCCCACCATTTTGATTACTGTAGCTTTGTAATATATTTGAAGTAAGGAAGTGTAAAAAGTCCAACTTCAGTCTTTTTAAAAATTGTTTTTTCTGTTTGGAATCCCTTGAGATTCCATATGAATTATAGAAGTAATTTTTCTATCTTGGCAAAAAAATATAAAGATGCCATTGCAATTTTGATAGGTATTGCATTGAGCTTTAGGTTGCTTTAGCATTTAGATATCTTAATGTTAAATCATCCATGTAGGCCCTGGTGAGAATTTGGTGATTTACCCTCCAAAGGCAATAAGAAACAATTGGAATATTTTTAAATTGAGGGGAGACTATCAAATGTGTGCTTTAAAAAAACAACCCCCCCCCCAAAAAAACAAAGGCACCCTTGGTCCCCGTGGAGATGTAATGGGGAGTAATAATAGGTGCAGCAGAATGCTACAGAGTGGTCCAATTCATTAAGGATATTGACGGAGAGGAGTAGAGAGAATGGTTGGAGTGGTGATGGAAAAAAGTAAATGGGGTTATTTGAGAATTAGAAGTGAACAGAATTAGATGATGTGTTGCATGTATGGATGAGAGGGCAGCAGGGAAACATTTTTAAGGCCAACCTTAGTTTAGTGCCTGAAATACAGCTAAGTGGACGTAGATAGCACATATTGTGGTGTAGAATTTTTTTATGCAGTTTGAGATGCTTGTAAAACACCTACTGCGACATACTGCGAAGGAAATGGTGTATGAATCGAGGTATGAAAATACGCACACAGTAAAGAAATTAAGTGCATTTTGACAGAATCCTGGACCTAATCTAAATTTTGGTGCATAGTGCATACTCAATATTTTTGTTAGTGTTTATCACAAAAATGCAACATACTGTATTAGTTAAACATCTTTGACACAGGAGCTAGTATTTGTTGATTCTATAAAAGTGGGGGAAATACTTTTTTAATTGCACTGGATGAGTATCATTCATTTACATTGCTATTTTATGCCATCCAGCTCTTTTGGTATGCTCAAATGTAGCAAAACTTTCTGTTGAAGTCCATAAATATGGAGAAAAGTAGATAATTGGCTACACACATGTGAAATTCAAAATAATTTTACTTCTCTGGGATGGGTGTGGGAGAAGCAGAGTGGAGAGTGAAATTTGATGTGACTGGCTATCCATAGATAAGATTATAAACTTTTTTTTTTCATAAGTCTGGCAAGCACTCAAACCAGATTGTCTTTGATATAACTACAAGGGAAAATACTTGTTAGATTAGAGGGAAATAGAGAAAGATAAAAAGGAATAGGAAAAGGGAAAGCATTAAAAGAAATGGAGAAAGAGGAAGGAGAAAAAAGGAGATAAGTGAACTTTTAGTAAGTTCTAAATTGAGTATTAGAATGTAATCTATTTTTGATTGTTTTATTTATTTTTTTAAAGATTTATTTATTTATGCATACAAGAGCTGGGGTACAGGCCAGAGACGCAGGGGGTGAGAGGATTCACCAGAGACAGAGTGGGGAGCAGAACAGGCAGACTGACTGAAGTACACTGCTGAGGGGAGCAGTGGGTGAGTCAGGAGAGGTCAGCAGTGCTGTGTGGGTTGCTCCCTGGCCCGCCGGGGATCGAATTCATACTGCAGAGGCTGTGGATTGCTTCATAGTGCAGTGCTTATGTGCCACCAGGGAGACCCTACTTTAAATTCTTTTAAACCATAAAATTTATAACATTACCTGATTTTATGACCCTTGAAAGTCACTTGTCTTCTGTGAGCCTCAGTTTACTCATCTGTCAAATGATGGAGCTGGACAGAATGCTCTTTAAAGTCCCTCCTGCTCTAATATATATTTCTTTGAAATCAGTTTTACCTTAGTGTGGTTATAATTTCCTATCTTTTAAAATGCATGCACAGCTATGTTTTTGAAATTTATAATATCTTATTTTCCTGTACAGTGACTTAATACAGAAATTATTTTGTACCGTTTGTGATGTTGCTATTTGAGATTTCAGGGACTACTTGGGATTATTCTATTAAGATTGTCAATCAGTTTTGTTAAATCCACATTTAACGTATTTCTTTGCCATGATGTTTTAAAGAGAGTTTGATTATGAATTATTGTGGGAGTATTTGAAATAATTCCTAGACTTTAACTCCAGAGAGTTTTCTTTTGAGAGAATTGTTGAATTTGGAACAGTTCTGTAGGTTTTGTGAACTATATGACTTATTTACAACCAGAATAACTTTAACTTGTTCTTAAAGCTTTCATTTAAAATCTACAGATTAAAAAAAAAAAAAAATAAAATAAAATAAAATCTACAGATTTTGCTCTGGCAGTGAATTGAACTGTGAAAAGATATTTGATGTACAATTTTCTTCATAGAATCATGTGTTACTAAAAAAGAGATATACTCAGAGACACTAGAAAGTTATGTATTTAGTTTTGCCTGTGTCAGCTTTTATATTTTTTCATTTAGTTTTTGAGAAATGGAGAATAGCAGGTACAGAGTTCTAGAAAAGAGGGATGAAAGTTAGGATCACGTATTTAAAATGCTAATACGATGATAGTTTTAATATTGAGGCACCATTACCATACAACCTATAGAAGTTTTTTTTTTTTTCCCCATAGTGAAATATCTAAAAAATAAAGGTATTACAGAGTGGTAGTTGAGGATATTTAAAGAGGGAAATGATACTTCTCATTCTCCGTCTTCTAACCCACCAATTTACTAGGCATAACTTCTAGTGTACTTACAAGTAGAGAAATTTATGTTCTATTTGTATGGCATTTAAAATTCTATTACTAAAAAACTTCCAAAGGTTTTGGGCTAGTGGTCACCAACTAAATGTTTAAATATGACTTTCATCCTAGTGAGAAAACTTAGGGAAAATTTAAATTTTCATTTGTATAAGTTAAAATTATCCTTAAAGGACTAAGAAATTGAAAAGATTTGAACAGAATAGAAATTATATGTAAGTGGGTCTTAAGCAAATGTTGAAGTTTAGCAGTTCTCATGTTTTAAAAGTAACACCACAAGCTCACACAAGTTTTATGAGGTCCTTTGTCAGACTCCCACCAACTCCCTTCTTCATTTTTCTGTAGCTATGTTAATTCAATCTGAAACCCCTACTAAAGCAAGATAGAGTTCGCCTTTGTAAAAATTTAAAAAAATAAATAAATGTGTCATCAGAATTGAATACAGTATTGGTTGAATCTCATCTTCTAGAATATCCAGACATACTCTTGTGGTTATCCAGTAAGTGTGTAGTGCCCTCACATTGCAAATTTATAGGAATTTAACCCTTGCTATGAAAGATAAATGATGTGGGAAAAGGGAATAGTATAATTTCAATTATACTATTATTATTTAATGCAAGCTTGTTTTTACTATCAAGAAGTTATTCATCTTATTCTAAATGGTACTTACTAAGGGGCAAAAATATTTTAGGTAACTTTAAAAAGTTAACAGTGTAATCACCATTTGCTTATAAGGGCAAGTATTTTGTAATATCCTGACAGTAATAGAAAATTAAAAAAAAAGTTTTAGTCCCATGCTTTTTAAAAAAAAAAATCCTTGTAAGTATTTGTATTGCAAATGAACTATTACCAAATGTTAATAATATATTATGTCTTGTTTTTTAAAGTGAATGAATTTTTAGCTTTTGAGGGTCCCATCTTGTTGGATATGAGAATTAAACATCTAATCAAAACAAATCAGTTAAGTCAAGCAACTGCTCTAGCAAAGCTGTGTTCTGACCATCCAGAGATTGGTACAAAAGGTAGTTTTAAGCAAACTTACCTTGTCTGTCTTTGTACATCATCACCAAATGAAAAGTTAATTGAAGAGGTGAGTATGTTTTCTTTCATTAGTAATTATTTTTTAATTACATGATGAAATTCATTTTTCATTACTTCAGAATGTCCTTGACTTCCCTTTCTTTTGAGAAATCATTGATACTCTTAAATTTTGGCATACTCTTAAAAGTACAACAATTCTAAGCAGTTTTCAGAATTATTTGTAAATTGATATCTACTTTCTATTTTAAGTAATTCACATTTTTTAACTGCTTTGACTACATTCTGGAAAATATGGCTGTGCCTTAACAATTTGGTAAGATGTTTACATTTGTCAGCATTAGGAACTTAAGCTTACCTCTCTGTAAGCTACTTGCACATGTTTTTAAGTGGGTAATTTAACTTTATCAAATTTATATGACTCCCCAATCCTTTTCCTATTTATTATATACACATATAAACTATATCTGTCTCTCTCTCTATATATATAAAAACAAAACAGTATTCCTAGGGGGCAAGATACATGGGTGGATAGCTAATTAAATTTTTTATTGTATATTTAATGTAAAACTTGATTTTCTTAGAGAGACATGTGATTCTGGGTTTTTTTTTCTTTCTAGGTTGGCATAAAGGTTACTGTTCATGTATTTGTGGGTTTTATTCTACAAAATTTTCAATGGGCCAATGGGAAACTTGCATTTTGGAAGACTCATAATTCTAAAATGAAGTTGGAGACAGAATAGGAGAATTAAAAATTGTTGATCAAGAAATGGGGAATATATATATTTTTAATTTAAAGAGAACTATAATACATTTAATAGTGTTGTGTGAACCTTTAATGTGTACAAGTATCTTCTATTCCTAATATGTGTCATTTGACTTTAGAACAATAGAGAGAGAACAAAGGGATTATGCCAAAGACTAAATAAAGGCTTGGGAAATGTTGACATATAATACGGAGAGGACAGTTAACTGAGTATGCATGATCCCTTGAGTAGTCAGGGAAGGATTGTAATCAGAATCTAGAAAAAGAGGGCTAGCCCTAGACAGAAAGCTGAATGCCCACATGAGATTAACTGTGGTTAAGTATAATGTGACTATGATTTTTGAGACTAGAAAGCGAGGAGGAAAATAGTACACTTGAATCAAGATTTGAAATAAGCCTGGAAGGTATGATGAGCAGATTGAGGATACTGGGGACAGTGATTTCAGGCAGTTTCTAGGCTGAATGGAGTAGAGTCAAGTGCTCTAACCTGGAAATTATTAATGCAGACATTAGCTAATCCATAGATTTTTTTTTCTTTACTATTTTATTGCAGGTAATTGACTTTTAATAGCTATATGTTAGAATGAAGTAAGTTTTCTTATTAATGCAGAATAGTTACATAGATAAGTTAATTCACAAATTTATCAAAGTTTATTGAGCTAGCCTTTGACAAAATGTAGGTAACATTTTTTTAAATCCTTAAATAAATATGCTACTGTACTGACACATCTTAGATGTTTTGGTTTCATTAAAGCTTTCATTGTCAGTTTAGTTCAATCCCTTGAGTTAGACTATCCATCTTTCCATGAGCAGAGTTTTGTGAAGTGAATGATATATGTACTATGTCAGCACTGGTGGGTGAAAGGTAAGTAAAGTATAGGCCTTGCCCTAAAGAAGCATACCTTCTATCAGAAACTAGCTAAATTAGTTGTTGGGTTAACTTTGAAGTCCTATTTGAAGTTGAAGACTATGAATTTGTAATCTCAAGTAAAAACCCAGGAGAAATCTGTATTTCTAGCTTTTTTGAATAATCAAAAGATACCAGCCTTGACTGAGTATCCTCAAGAAAATTCTCTATGAAAACCCTGGATATCTTTAATATCATGTGAAATGATTTTTTCCCCCTTCTGACATTAAAGCAGGTAGAACTAAGATATTTCATATTCTTTTTTTCATAACCAGTTTATTTTATTTTTATTTTTTAAATTTTTAAAATTTTATATATTTTTTACATCATTTTTCATTTTTGCACAATGTATTCATTTTCTTGGTTATATTCCCCGTACAATTCCCATCCGCCTTATTTTGACCCTAATCAAGCAGACCTCACGAGGTTTCTTTATACCTCACCCCATGAGCAAAAACTAGATTGATCACATAGTGTAGAGCAAAACAGGATATGTGTGAATCTGCTTATTCCTTTTTAAAAGTACCTTTTTACTTAGAAATAAATTACTCTTTTATAATTGTTATGTAGATGCGGAAACCTGTTCCATTCCTCGTTGTGAAATAAATGAATTAAGATTAGTTGCTAATAAGCCTGTTGTTTTTCCTGCTCAGGAAAGGTAGTCATTTGGGAATATTTGCTCAAAGACATTGCCCCCATAAAAACTGCTATTTCTTCTTCCCTCCCACCTTCCCTCCCTTTCTCCCTTTCTCTGTCTCTTTCTCTCTCTCATCATAACCTCATTCATTTGCTTTATCTGTCTGGTTATTGTAAGCAGGGAAATGGAGCTGAGTGAGTTGAGTGTGTTTCTGGCTTCTCTGGGAGGAATGAGCTTTAACCTGAATTTTTGGTATAGTTTTTAAAAATGAAGTTTAACAGTGATCATTTTGCATTTGGTATTTCTCTTTTCCTGTTAAACATAAAAGCTTTAAAAGTAAAATCCTCTATTATATCTCCCAACCATTTTCCCATTTAATATCCCCAATAATCATTAAGTTTAAAATTTGATATATAGCCCTTCTGCATTTTCTATGTTCCTGTATATTGTTTAATATACTTAAAGCATTCACACACACACAGGCTGTCAGTCACTTTCCCCTTTCATATTATGGACATTTTCATGTGTCATTCAATATAGATCAACCTCATTTTTTCTCATGGCTGTATAATTCAGTAGTATGTATTTTTAATGCCTTTAGGCAGACTAGGGGATATTTAAGGATATTTAAGATATTTATTTTAAGATGCATTGTTCATACATCATTTGAAACTTTGTGAGGCAGGAGAAATTTCTAGAAGTGGAATTGCTGTATCAAAGAATCTACATTTTAAATTAATAAATAGTAGGTATAATACTGTCCAGAAAAGATTATGCCAATATCTACTTTCACAGTTTGTGAAATTTCTTCTTTCCTAATGTCTGGAGATAGTCTTTTAAATCTTTCCTAGCAGATGAGCTCATTTGGCTTCACCTTTTCTTTATGTGACAGACAGATTTACCATTTAAACTCTTTCCTATTTGGAAAGCAGTTTCATTTTGATAACCAGAACACTGTTCTTGAGATCCATTGACAGTGTTCTGGTTTTTTTGTTTTGTTTTTTGTTTTTGAAGTAGTCTCTGTGTAGACAGTCCCTCCCTTTATGCTGCCTGGGATATTAGGACTACTTCATGTTCATTGATGGCTATATTTGACCTGTATTTCGTTTTTCACAGTTTTGATTCATTAGTTTATGGTTTCACTTTCCCATTTTCATGTCAGTTTTTCAAGAGAGCCATCTAGTGGCAAATCAGAAATAAGAAAACTATCAAGAGCCCAGTAAAAATTGTTTCATTAGTAAACCTATTAAAAGTGAGGTATTCTGTATTGTTATAGTCTACATGTGTGTATATATACATACATATATTAAAAAATACATATTTTACGTTATAGTCTACATATATATGTATAGTCTACATATGTGTATGTATATACACGTAGACTATAACGTAAAATATGTATTTTTTAATTTTAATTTAGTGTAAACTATTATCAGGCCGTTACTAGGCTGGATAGAGTTGAGTCAGTGGCTCTAGCCTAGGGAATCATATCATTAATTTAGACATTAGCTAAATGTAGGTAATATCATTGTGAAAATAAATTTCCTAATAACATAATTACACATTTTGTGGCATTTGCATATTCAACAATAATGGCCATGGTTTTAGAAGAAAAAATGATCAGATTCAAATCAGACTTAAAACAAGTAAGAATTTTTGATAAACCTGAGCGTGTGAAAAGTCATTATTTAGCCATAAAGGAGACTACATTATGCTTGTGCATATGGAATTCTGGGAAGAGCACAGACTTTGAAACTAGCCCTTGTTTGAAGTCTTGACTGCCCCTAATTAAGTGTGTGACTTTGAACAAATAACAAGTTCTCTGACTTACCTCTGAAAAGAAGTAGCAGTATCTATCAGGGAAGTCATTATGCTAATTAATAATGCTATTTCAGAAGAAGTTGGCAGTGATAAATAGTTATTATTACTGTTGTTAACATCTTATGAAAAAGTAAACAAAACAAAACTCAAGGGTTGAATGCTAACATTTTTTGTCTCTATTAATATGTCAGGATAACTGTTTAAAGTTAGTATAACTAACTTTAACTATATTTAAGTATAACTTTATAACTAATGGAAAGAATGTAAGTCTTTCATGTTAACCAAGCATAATTTGATTTGGGGCTCTAGCCATCTACTACTAACTGTTGTAACTTGGGCAAATCACATAACTTCTTTGACTCCCACATCATATTTAAAATGTTAATACCTACCAAGTAGAGAAGTTATACTTAATGTCTGACAATGCATTTAATAATATAGATGTTTGAAAATGTTTATTCTATAACTGCATAGCCTTATTGTTCTTTTGGTTTAAGTGGTGTCCCTTTTAAGTTAAGATTTCTTAGAAAGAGGCAGATAGGAGTAGTGAAAGTAGCACTTCACCAGGGAATTCTAAGACTTAAGTTTCAGTCTTAACTCTGTCACTAACATCAGACTTCCTTTATAACATCATTTCTATTAAACACACAGACTCAGACAGAATTGGGTCTTTTCTTGCTTTGTGTTTTCTAGCCCAGTTTAATACATAAAATTGAACCTCTGAATCTAACCCTAGGCAACCTTTATTCCCATTACCAAAATTGACCACAGAATTACCCTCATCCACAATTAAGATACTTTTTATGTCCTGAATACTATAATTTACATACAGACACATGAATACTTACATCCTGTATTCAGAAGTTGGTGAGGAGACGTGAAAGATCAGTAAGGATGGGCACAGTTATCTCTATAGTATATGGGTACTAATGGTCTGTATTGATCTTAAATTCTTTTTACTATTTGTTGCACCATGTTGGAATTAAATTATCCATTCTGTGGAACATTAATTTGTGATTGTATGGCTGTTGTCACATTCTTATAGCAAATGCTTACAAAAATCATGTAAATTCTGTTTATGTAGTAAATCATTGTGATGAGTTAGCAAATTTTAATTTAAAAAAATAGATGCAAATACATGATTAAGTGAAGCAAGTTGCTTCATCTAGGTTATATTTTGTGTGCATGACTGTTGACAGATTTTTAGAAGGAGCCAATTTATATGAATTTACATGAAAAGAAAAATAATGGAATGTATAGAGAACTGAGGTGAGCTTAATTTAAAAATGGTATAGCTACATAGAATGTTTCTTTTTATACATTTTCCCCCTCAGATGAATAGATACTTCTTAATCTATATCCAGGAGACCTTGGTGTCTTTATGCTGATTCTAATGCTTTTTAACTTACTAGATAAAAGGGCGAAATGCAAATACTGCAGCTTTTTTTCAGTGTCATAAATCTGATTTAATGTCTATAGAGTTGCTTATAATTAGCACCAGTTGTTTACCTATAAATGAATGCTTGTAAAAGTCTTCAAAATAGTTGGTTCATTGACTACAAAAATATTTCTTTAAACTACAGCCTAGTATGAGTTCATGACATTTTACAAATGAAAATACATTAGTACATTACTAATGAAAAGCTTACAAAGTATATATATTTCTATATGTCCTAATATAAAACCATTTTATGGCATATTTCTGTATCCTTTTTTGGTAGATTTCAGAAGTTGATTGCAAAGATGCTCTAGAGATGATCTGTAACTTAGAATCTGAGGGCGATGAAAAAAGTGCTCTTGTCTTATGTACTGCGTTTTTGTCACGTCAACTCCAACAAGGAGATATGTACTGCGCTTGGTGAGTTGATTTTCTTTTGTTAAACAAACAAGATGTTTGTTACTTAAAGAAAAGTTTGTTGAATAAGTATACAAGATGGGTTGTAAGAATTTAGATAGCTTAAGAACATTTTTAATTTTTTTTTAAATTGAGATAACATTGGTTAATAACACTGTACATGCTGTAGGAGGTTCACACCTCTTCTCATGTCTGTTATACCATGCCCCCCACCAAAGCACCAATAATCCTTTACCGTAATTCATTTAGTGTCCTTTCCCTTCTTTCCCTCCCTCCCCCATCTCCACTTTTGGTAGCTTCAGAAAAGCATGTTTTAAAATATTTTTTTAATCTTATCAGAACCAAAAGCTTATTTTCAGATATTGCATGTTATGCAGACTGTTACATGGAAGTCTGTAACTTTTAAAGCTTGTATTAATGACCACACAACAAATAATGACTATATAATGATCAGTAGTGATCATGAAAATTTTAACATATTAACACTACATAAACTAGCTGCTGGTTATTTATATAAAGAAATGTAATTCATTTTCCACCTATGAGATATTCTACTTCACTAATTTCTGCAGTGCACGTTTCTTCATAGTGCGTTTCCTATTAGTCAATGCCTATTATATATAATCCTTTGGCAGAATGCAACTGATAGATGTCAGCTTAAGATCAATTGTCTTAAATTAGTGTTAGCTAAACTGACAGTTTAGTCACTCACTAATATTAGTCTTCACTGTTGCATTGGTATTATGGGAATAAAAGAAAATTTAGTTTAAAACATTCTGACATTGAGAAAAATTGTATTTGCAATACAGAGAGGGTTGGTATAAAAAGCAGGTAGAAAGGGGCCTCCCCAGTGGCACAGCGGTTGAGCGCTGGGTTGCAAAGCTGCCCGCAGCCTCTGCAGCACCAGTTCGATCCCCGGCTGCTCCCTGGCCACCGGAGGAGGGTCCCACATGGCGCGCAGACCTCTCCTGCCGCCCGCTGCTCCCCTCAGCGGTGTACTTCGGTCCTTCTGCCTGCTCTGCTCCCTGCTCTGGTGAATTCTCTCACCCTCCCGCATTTCTGACTATACCCAGTCCTTGTATAAATAATAAATAAATCTTTAAAAAAAAAAAAAAAGGTAGAAAGATTCTAAACAGAGAATAAATAAGATGTATTTTTTGAGGACAATAAGATTTTATCCATGATACATATTCTCACTGATTAATAAGAAAGTAATCAGAAATTAATGTATTACATTGGTTTTAAAAATTGTGAGTTCTTTGTGATAAGCAAAAACAATCTACTATAAACCCTTATTAGAAGGAGGGAAAATAGAAGTTTATGTTTATGAAATACTGTTAAAGGCAAGCAGTTGAAAATGAATGGGGAAATGAATGTTGAGAGCAGAGTTGGGGGGAGGAAGTAGCAATACAGAGCTGAGACAAGAAAATCAATTAGAAACCAAATAAATAGTCCAGCTGAGAATTTATAAAGTCTTCCATATGAATATGGGATGGGATGAAAGAAATCCAAAGATAATAGTCTTATGGAAAGTAAAAGGCAGAGATAATGAGTCTGTGAAATTGATGCTTTAAATTAGAAAGATTGTGAACTGGAAAGAATGTTAATCATCTTTTTCATATATTAAGTTTCAGGTTTCAGAAGAGATCACAGTGGAGAAGTCTTATAAAGAACTAGAGAGGTGAAAGTGGTCAAGACTGGAGAGACAGATTTTGAAGTCCTCAATATATAGGTTAAAGACCAGTAAAATGAGCAAGTTATTCAAGTGGGTAGTGAAAAGGGCAGAGTTCCTAGGTTTGGAAACTGAGGAAATACTAATAGGAAAGGCCCCTCCCTATTGAGGAGAATACTGGGTGAAAAAAGTTGAAGCAAGGATGAAGATTTTTGTGGAAGTTAATCATGGAGGACAGAAGAGAAATAGGATGATAGGTAAAAGGCAGGAAAACTTAACACCTCAGTAGAATTATTTTCTATGAAAAATACATCGTAATTGCATTTGAAATTTCAAAGTTTATTTTTCAAATTTTGTTTTTCTGCTGTGGCACAGGTTACTTTCTTTTGTGTTCTTTGTCACCATTGGTTCTTAGCATTTATCTAGTAGGAATTTTAAATTCAATTGACTAATGAAGTTGATCAATAAAATATAATAATTAAATGTGTTTTAAAATGCATATACTATGGATGCATTTTTTATGTACATACACATCTTGCAATTATTACATAAATTTTATGTCACTGAGAGTTATTATTTGTATAACTTGTTTAAATGTCAGATACTTTCCTGGTAAAAGTTAGTACTTTTCTGAGATAGGAAAATATTAACAATAAGTCATATTCCAATTTGAATTTATGTAGTCTCTAGGAAATTAAGATTTATTTTCTTGCTTTTAAACTTAATTCCACATGTAGAATTGAATCTAAAACCAGTTTTAATTTCAAATGTTAAGATTGGAATCACATAGTCCATGATTATTCACTTTCCTGTACCAACGTGATTTTTAACCTTTTTTTTTTTTTTTTTTTTTAAGGGAACTCACTCTCTTTTGGAGTAAATTACAGCAAAGAGTAGAACCATCTATACAAGTGTATCTAGAAAGGTGTCGTCAACTTTCTTTGTTAACAAAGACAGTTTATCACATTTTCTTCCTGATTAAAGTTATTAATTCAGAGGTAAGAGTAATCAAGGTAAAATCTTTTCTTAATTATTTAGGAAAAATTATAAATCAAGCAACTTTAAAAACACTTGTTATATAACTTATTACATATGAACTTATATAACATCTAGTTTTGATTTGAGTGTTGCCTGTACACTTTTTAATCACACATGGAAAGATAAAGACTCAGAAGAATAAAACTTTTTATATAGTTTTTTGTTTTATTGGCATTTTTAAGGTTTCAGATTATATATTAATATATTTTAATGCAAATTTGTTCAAGATTGTTTGTTTGACTTTGGTTAGTTGAATCCTTAAATCCATTAGTAGACTGTTTTAGAATAGAAATATCAGTTGAGTTCACTGAAATAATTTTAGTTGCATTTTTGTAGCAATCGGTATTTTTGGATCAACTTTTATCATTCTGGAGAAAGGAGTGGACATTCATATGACAGAAAATAGTTATAGTAACCATCCCACAGCAGATAACCTTCATCCATAAGTCCTGTTCCCAGAATCCTTTCTAAAGTCATTACTTCTCCACTTCTCTTCACTACCTGTATTTTTCAAGTGACTCTACCTTCATTAGTGCTGTCTTATAATGATAGTTCAAGATGCTAATCTAAAAGAAAAAGTGTTGATTGTATCTTTTCCTACTCTTCATTGTTAGATTGAGCCAGCCATGAGGTGGGTGATTTGACATTCAGTTTTGTGATAGAATTAGAAACCCTCTTTTAAGGGGTTTTTTAACTTGATTCTGTTAAAAGTGAAACTCTTCTTTTATTACTAGTAAGTTTGAAAATATGGAAGCAGTCTCAATTTTGTCATTGGTTTAAGAGGGTTTTGTTTCTGAAGGATCACAAATACAAACTTAGGAAATGAGATTTGTGGTAAGGATAATGACATTTACTGATTGCTTAGTATGCACCAGACATTATACTGAACTACACCAGTTACTTTAGTTACATAAAATCCATTAATGCTACAGCAACTTTGCAAAGTTTTAAGTGCTATTTTGACCTCTGTTTTATAAATGACATATGAAATGTCAAAGAAATTAAATAACTTCCAAGTTTGGCTAGCTATTAAATGATTTTATACCCAGGTCTTATCTTAGCTCCCAGTACTTAAGCTTTTCTGCTATTCTATATCGCTTCCTTGGTACCAGTGCCAGTAGCAGTTTATTTTACAGACAGTTTTACATAGCAGACTAAGCTGCAGTGCTTCAGAAAGGGCATCTTTTCATATGCAAAATTTGAGAAATGCAAACCACATTTTAAAATTAATAAATTCAGAAATCTGTGTTGATTAGTATAGATTAACATTTTCTCTTTGCTTTTCTACAGACTGAAGGGGCTGCTGGACTTGCCACCTGTATAGAACTGTGTGTTAAAGCTCTTCGCTTGGAATCTACAGAAAATACTGAAGTGAAAATATCTATTTGCAAGACCATTTCGTGCTTGTTGCCTGATGATCTGGAAGTTAAACGTGCTTGTCAACTGAGTGAATTTCTTATTGAACCTACAGTAGATGCATATTATGCTGTGGAAATGTTGTATAATCAGCCAGACCAGAAATATGATGAAGAAAATCTTCCAATACCAAATTCTTTGCGCTGTGAGCTCTTACTTGTATTGAAAACTCAGTGGCCCTTTGATCCAGAATTCTGGGATTGGAAAACCTTAAAACGACAATGTCTTGCATTAATGGGGGAAGAAGCATCCATAGTGTCTTCAATAGATGAACTAAATGATAGTGAAGTTTATGAGAAAGTATTAGACTACCAGGAAGAGATTAAAGAAACTTCTGTGAATGGACTTTCTGGTGGAGTTGGTGCTAATTCTGGCCTCCTTAAAGACATTTGTGATGAAAAGCAAAAGAAGAGAGAAATAAAACAATTAAGAGAGAGAGGATTTATATCTGCTAGATTTAGAAATTGGCAAGCCTACATGCAGTATTGTGTGCTCTGTGACAAAGAATTCCTTGGTCATAGAATAGTACGGCATGCTCAAAAACATTACAAAGATGGAATTTATAGTTGCCCCATATGTGCAAAGAACTTTAATTCTAAAGAAACATTTGTCCCTCATGTCACATTGCATGTTAAACAATCCAGTAAAGAGAGACTAGCAGCTATGAAACCTTTAAGAAGATTGGGAAGGCCTCCTAAGATTACAACTACCAATGAGAATCAGAAGACAAATGCTGTGGCCAAGCAGGAACAGCGGCCTATAAAAAAGAACAGTCTCTATTCAACAGACTTCATAGTATTTAATGACAACGATGGTTCAGATGATGAGAATGATGACAAAGATAAGTCTTATGAGCCAGAAGTGATCCCAGTCCAGAAGCCAGTACCTGTTAATGAATTTAATTGCCCTGTAACTTTATGTAAAAAGGGCTTTAAGTACTTTAAAAATTTAATTGCTCATGTAAAGGGGCATAAGGATAATGAAGATGCCAAGCGCTTTCTTGAAATGCAAAGCAAAAAAGTTATTTGCCAGTACTGTAGACGGCATTTTGTAAGTGTTACTCATCTCAATGATCACTTACAAATGCACTGTGGCAGTAAACCGTATATATGTATACAGATGAAATGTAAGGCTGGTTTTAATAGTTATGCAGAGCTCTTAACCCACCGAAAGGAACACCAAGTCTTTAGAGCAAAGTGTATGTTTCCTAAATGTGGTAGAATTTTTTCAGAAGCTTATTTACTATATGATCATGAAGCACAGCATTATAATACCTATACTTGTAAGTTCACAGGTTGTGGTAAAGTTTATCGTTCTCAGAGTGAATTAGAAAAGCATCTGGATGATCACAGTACTTCTGAGAAAGTGCTACCTCCTGAAGACCAACTTAATTCATCTGGAGATTCTGTTCAGCTTTCCAAAGTGAATCAGAACTCAGAAGGAAGTTCTGAGAAAGAGAGATCTACGGTTCTTTCAGAAAATAACGTTGAAAACACCTTATCAGCAGATGGAAGTGATACTTGGGATAAAAGCAAGGCCGAATCAGTTATGACCAAACAAGATCAGATTTCTGTGCCTGAGTTTAGGCAAGCTGATGGACCTTTGTCAAATGGTTTGGAAAATCCTGCCGCTACTCCTTTACTTCAGGCCAGTGAAGTCGCTGTGTCTATTAAGGTGTCTCTCAATCAGGGGATTGAGGATAACTTTGGAAAGCAAGAAAGCTCATCTGTGGAAGGCACAGATGAGTCACTGGTCACAAACTTAAATACACCAGTTGAAAATACTTGTAATAATTTGTGTCATTCAGATTTTCAAGAGAGAAAAGAACAAGATTGTTTTAATGAAACACAGATTACTCAGAATTCTTTAATAAATTCAGAAACCCTCAAAATAGGTGACCTTACCCCTCAAAACTTACAAAGACAAGTGAACAACCTGATGACCTTCTCTGTACAAAGTCAAGCAGGATTTCAAAACAGTTTATCAACATCTAAGTTTGAATGTGGAGGTAATGCTAAAACAACATCAAGTATTTATAATTTACCTCTTAAGACTTTGGAAAGTATTACATTTGTTCCACCACAACCCAACCTAAGTAGTTCTTTAGTAACTCCATCAGTGCCTCCAAAAGCACCATTTCAGAAATTCAGTTGCCAGGTTGAGGGATGTACTCGAACCTATAATTCTTCACAGAGTATTGGGAAACACATGAAGACAGCACATCCTGACCAATATGCTGCATTTAAAATGCAACGCAAAAGTAAAAAAGGTCAGAAATCTAACAACTTAAATACACCAAATAATGGAAAGTTTGTTTATTTTTTGCCCTCACAGGTGAGCAACTCTAATAATGCATTTTTTACACCACAGACCAAAGCCAATGGGAATCCTACGTGTTCAAATCAGTTGCAGCATGTCTCACCTTCCACTTTTCCAACTCATTTAGCAAGTGTGTCAACTCCACTGTTGCCCTCAGTTGAAAGTGTCATTAATCCAAATACACCTTCTCAGGATAAAAATGAACATGGTGGTGGTATGTTATGTCCCCAAATGGAAAATTTACCTAATGCTACCTTGCCAGCACAAATGGAAGATCTAACCAAAACAGCTTTGCCTTTGAATATTGACAGTGGCTCAGATCCTTTCCTTCCTTTACCTGCAGAAAGTAATTCAATGTCTCTCTTCCCTTCGCCAGCAGATAGTGGGACTAATTCTGTTTTTTCCCAACTGGAAAATAATACAAATCATTTTTCCTCACAGATTGAAGGAAACACTAACTCCTTTCTAAAGGGCGGTAATGGTGATAATGCAGTTTTTCCTTCACAAGTGAATGTTGCGAGTGACTTCAGTGGCACCAGTGTCCAACAGTCTGCCCCTGAAAAGGTTAAAAAAGAACGTGGACGGGGCCCAAATGGGAAGGAACGAAAACCCAAGCACAACAAAAGGGCTAAATGGCCTGCAATTATCAGAGATGGGAAATTTATTTGTAGCAGGTGTTACAGGGCTTTTACTAATCCCAGATCTTTAGGTGGACATTTGTCTAAGCGATCCTATTGTAAACCACTAGATGGAGCAGAAATTGCTCAAGAACTTCTACAAAATAATGGACAGCCTTCTCTTCTTGCCAGCATGATTCTCTCTGCAAATGCAGTAAATTTGCAGCAGCAGCAGCAGCAGTCTAACTTCAATCCGGAGGCATGTTTTAAAGATCCATCGTTCTTGCAGCTTCTTACTGCTGAAAATCGCTCATCAACATTTTTACCAAATACATTCCCTCGGACTGGTGTTACTAACTTTAGTACAAGTGTTAGTCAAGAAGGAAGTGAAATTATTAAACAGGCTTTAGAAACTGCTGGCATTCCCAGTACATTTGAGGGCCCTGAAATGCTTTCTCATGTTCCAACAGGCTGTGTCTCAGATGCAGCGCAAGTAAATGCAACAGTGATGCCAAATTCAACTGTGCCACCCCTGTTGCAGACTGTATGCCACCCAAATCCCCTGCTAACACACCAGAATAGAACACCAAATTCCAAAACTTCTTCCGTTGAGGAATGTAGCAGTTTGCCTGTTTTTCCAACAAATGACTTACTACTGAAGACTGTTGAAAATGGTTTATGTTCTAGTTCATTCCCTAATTCTAGTGGACCATCACAAAACTTCACCAATAACAGTTCACGTGTTTCAGTTATCAGTGGACCTCAGAACACAAGGTCTAGTCATTTAAATAAAAAGGGAAATAGTGCTTCTAAAAGAAGAAAGAAAGTTACGCCTCCGCTGATTGCACCTAATGCTTCCCAAAACTTGGTAACAACAAGTGATTTAACAGCGATGGGACTTATAACAAAGAGTATTGAGATACCGACTACTAACCTTCATTCAAATGTAATTCCAAATTGTGAACCTCAGGGTTTGGAAAATTTAACACAGAAATTAAATAATGTTGACAATCAGTTATTTATGACTGATGTAAAAGAAAACTTTAAAACCAATCTTGAGTCCCATACAGTGTTAGCTCCTTTAACATTAAAAACAGAAAATGGTGATTCCCAAATGATGGCTTTGAATTCATGCACAACTTCAATAAATTCTGATTTGCAGATATCTGAAGATAATGTTATGCAAAACTTTGAAAAGACTCTTGAAATTATTAAAAGTGCTATGAATTCTCAAATACTTGAGGTAAAAAGTGGATCTCAGGGTACTGGTGAAACATCACAGAATGCGCAAATAAATTATAGCATTCAGCTCCCTTCAGTAAACACTGTACAGAACAATAAATTACCTGATTCTTCTCAGTTTTCCTCTTTTATAGGTGTCATGCCAACAAAAAGTAACATTCCTCAGTCGGAAGTATTGCATAAGGAAGATCAAATACAAGAAATTTTAGAAGGCTTACAGAAATTAAAATTAGAAAACGACCTGTCCACTCCAGCATCCCAATGTGTACTAATAAACACATCAGTGACACTGACTCCTACTCCAGTTAAGTTAATTCCAAATGTCACAGTTGTTCAGCCAGTTTCTGAAATGATAAACAACATTCAATTTAGTGACAAAGTTAATAAACCCTTTGTATGTCAAAACCAAGGCTGTAGTTACAGTGCTATGACAAAGGATGCATTGTTTAAGCACTATGGTAAGATTCACCAGTACACTCCAGAGATGATTCTTGAGATTAAGAAAAATCAGTTGAAATTTGCTCCATTTAAATGCGTAGTACCTACATGTACAAAAACATTTACAAGAAATTCTAATCTCCGGGCACATTGTCAGTTGGTACATCATTTTACAACAGAAGAAATGGTAAAGTTAAAAATAAAAAGGCCTTATGGAAGAAAATCTCAGAATGAAAATTTGTCAGCTCCACGAATTACACAAGTGAAAAAGCAGCTAGCAACAACAGAGGAAAATAAGAGGGAATTCCAGCCTCCTTTGGAACTGGGAACATTGAAGGAAAATGCTCTAAATAATGTGGCACCAACCCCAGAAAAAGAACTTACAGAAAAAAAAAGTCCTGAAAAAACAGAAAGTTCTTCACAAGTGATTACAGTTACTTCAGGACAATTTAATACAAATTCCCTAACAAATATACAAACCAAAGGAAGGAAAATTAGAAGACATAAAAAAGAAAAGGAGGAGAAAAGAGGGAAAAAGCCAGTTTCTCAATCCCTTGAGTTTCCAACGAGATACAGTCCCTACAGACCTTATCGATGTGTTCATCAGGGTTGCTTTGCTGCCTTTACAATACAGCAAAATTTAATTCTGCATTACCAGGCTGTACACAAATCAGACCTACCTGCCTTTTCTGCAGAGGTTGAAGAGGAGAGTGAAGCTGGTAAAGAAAGTGAGGAAATTGAAACAAAACAAACTGTGAAAGAATTTCGATGTCAGGTGAGTGACTGTTCTCGAATTTTCCAAGCAATTACTGGCCTAATACAACACTACATGAAACTTCATGAAATGACTCCTGAGGAAATTGAAAGTATGACTGCTTCTATAGATGTTGGGAAATTTCCATGTGACCAGTCAGAGTGCAAGTCTTCATTTACCACATATTTAAACTATGTTGTTCATCTTGAAGCAGACCATGGAATTGGCTTACGGGGAAATAAAACTGAGGAAGATGGCATATACAAGTGTGACTGTGAAGGTTGTGACCGTATATATGCAACTCGGTCTAATCTCCTCCGACATATTTTTAATAAACATAATGACAAGCATAAAGCTCATTTAATTCGACCAAGAAGGTTAACACCTGGCCAGGAAAATATGTCAAGCAAGGCAAACCAAGAAAAGACCAAATCTAAACATCGGGGGACAAAACACAGCAGATCTGGAAAGGAAGGAATCAAAATGCCTAAGACCAAAAGAAAGAAAAAAAATAATATAGAAAACAAGAATGCAAAGATTGTGCAGATTGAAGAAAATAAGCCTTACTCTTTGAAACGTGGAAAGCATGTATATTCTATAAAGGCTAGAAATGATGCCTTATCTGAGTGTACAAGCAGATTTGTAACCCAGTATCCATGTATGATAAAGGGGTGTACATCAGTTGTTACAAGTGAAAGCAATATAATTAGACATTATAAATGCCATAAATTATCTAAGGCATTTACTTCACAACACCGCAATCTTCTTATTGTCTACAAACGATGTTGCAACTCACAAGTAAAGGAAATTTCTGAGCAAGAAGTTGATAAGAGTGATGTGAAAGATTCTGGCACATGTGTATCAGAGAGCAGTGAGAACTCAAGAACAACTGACGTTCCACAGAAGGAAGTTGAAAAAAATGAAAAAGATGAAATGGATGAACTAACAGAATTATTTATTACAAAATTAATCAATGAAGACAACACAAATGTAGAAACCCAAGTTCATACCTCTTCAAATGTAAGTAGTGATATTCAGGAAGATAACCCTTGCCAGTCAGAAAAGCAAAAAGCAAGTAATTTGAAGAGAGTTAATAAAGAAAAAAATGTTTCCCAAAATAAGAAGAGAAAAGTTGAAAAACCTGAACCAGCATCAGCAGTTGAGTTAAGCAATGTGCATAAAGAAGAAGAAACTGCTGTTGCAATTCAAACCACTGAAGAGCACCCTGCATCTTTTGACTGGAGTTCATTTAAACCAATGGGATTTGAAGTATCATTTCTGAAGTTTCTTGAGGAGTCTGCAGTAAAGCAGAAAAAAAATACTGACAAAGAGCATCCAAATAGTGGAAATAAAAAAGGATCCCATTCAAATTCAAGAAAAAATATTGACAAAACTGCTGTGACTAGTGGAAATCATGTGTGTTCTTGTAAAGAAAATGAAACCTTTGTACAGTTTGCCAATCCATCACAGCTTCAGTGCAGTGATAATGTAAAAATTGTTTTAGACAAGACTCTTAAAGATTGCACTGAGCTTGTCCTAAAGCAACTTCAGGAAATGAAACCTACCGTCAGTCTGAAAAAACTTGAAGTACATTCAAATGATGCAGATGTACCTATCATAAAAGAAATCAGTATGGGTAAAGCCACAGGGAGAGGACAATACTGATAACTAATGTACTATAAATACATCATTTACAGTTTTATTTTAAATAGGAGCCATCAAGCATGCTAGAATTGTGAAAGTTATCCATTATTTTTTGTTATTGATGTGAATTAACCTGGCCAAAAAAAAGGAAAAAAAAAAAAACCATGACATTTGTCATGTAAAACTTTTTTTTAATCCCTATGGGACTTAAACAGAATCAATACTTCAGTTATTGTAAATAGTTGAGCTAAACTGAAATTTCTATGAACCAGTTGCCCTTTCCATGAATTAAACAGAATTATCTGTGTGATTGATACGTTTCACCAGGTCACTGCTCATGTATAACAGTACTCATTGTTTGTAGATACTTTTTTGTATATATTTATTATTGTAAATCATTTGCTGCCACCAGCAGTCTGTAAGTCTAAACTATTAAATGACACATTTATATTTGGAATTTTAATTTTTAACTAAGTGATCAAGTTTTTAAAACTTCTTTTATTGTTTTAAATTAAGAATTTTTTGATCTAAAATAGAAACTGCATAGTTCACTGATTTTTACATAAAACATTTACAAGATGATTTCAATATTTTCACAAAGTAGGCACATTATATCAACACTTTGCTCTGCTTTGTAAATTTTCCATCCAGGATTTTTAGGTGGTATTCATAGGAAATTAAAGCAGATTCTTAAGCAGTTTCCTATAGCTACAGGTTTTTTTTTCCAATGCTTCTGATTGGATATAGTTACTCTAATTCCATGAAATATAATGGAAATGTGAACAAAGAATTTACTACACTGAAGAGTTTAAACATTTGGTATAAAAAAAAATCCTTTGTGAATGTGATAGAAACTAGTAGTGTGGAGCAGTGTAAATATTTGAGGTGGTGATTTGTGAAGTAGCCCAGTATTGCCTTAAATAAAATCACATTTCATTTCTTGTTTTATACATGTGATCTTATAAAGGTTTTTTTTTTTTTCTGTTGTTCATTTTCTGAGATTTATAGATTGGTGTATAGCTTTAAACTGTAAAAACTTTTGTGGAAAGATTTTTTTAAACATTTTTATAAATCTTAAAATTGGTATCATCAAAGTGAGCCCATCTTGTGTTTATAAAATGCAAGAGTCCTTAACATTTATAATTACATAGATGAAACACTTTCTATAAGGAAGTTGGATGTTTTGATTTTACTGTTTATAGATGTTAGATTGTACAGATTTGTCTGTATTTTACCCACCATATCTAATGATACTTTTTCATTAGATTGGTCTTCCAGAGCAGTATTAGTTGTTATAATTACTTCGGTTATTCAATACATAGTTAGCACTTATAGTTTAGCTTCACCATATTTATACTGTTGATTCACTGCCTGAGATAGAGGCTGTTTCAGGAGAGTTTATGACCTTCATTTGAAGTTCAACTAAAATCAGTACTTGGAAGCAAACAAAATAGTTACTTTTGTTTCTGTTTACCATAATAGTAGCACTGATTTTTGGCTTTGTGTTTGTTATAAGCCAGTTGCATTCACATTATTATTATTATTAGCCTGAGATATCAGTGACATTGTGATGATATGAAAATGTATATATTTCCTGTGCAACATCAGATTCATAGGAAAAATGAAGCACTTAACATTAATTGAAATTGCTGGTACTCTGAATAAATAAGCATGGTCAAGGAGTGAATTTTCTTTTGGAAAATATTTTTAAGTTTTATTATTAAAGTATTATAGTTTTATTTTTAGAGCCTAATAGGTTTCATTGACTAGTTCGTTTCACTTCATTAAGGTTTATTACCAATATGCATAAAACTTGACACATTAAAGTTCCTACCCCTTGGTAAGCCCACTGTTATTTATTAAAAGTTGTTATGGGTGATTAATACATGTTTTACCCTAAATTAACAATAACTTAACTTTGAATAATTTTAATATTAAATTTTTGTTAACAACTGAATGTTTCCGTACAGTTTTCTTAGAAGTTGACCTAGCTCTTGAATATAGGCATTTGGCAAAACTGCTTATATTCGGTGCAGTAGAAAATAGGTTTATCTCTGATGAATGTAGTGATGGGCCATTGTTAAGTGAAAATGTATTGGAGCTTTTCTTTTGCCATTTAGCTTTAAGAAAATTGAAGACTAGATATTTCTGTAATTGTTCTCTCACATTATCAGGGGAAAGAGTTTGTAAACACTGAGTTAAATTTTTAATATTCCAGGTACAGTATACTAAAGGTAATTATGAACAAGTGGGCTTTTTAGCATGAAATAAAAGATTCAAATTATGGTATAAAATAGATATGAATTTATAGAATAGCATGTTGGTAAAGTTTGATATGAAATGTAATGCCTAAGGATTAAAAAAGACTAAAAGTGTATTTTTCCATGGTATACTTTTCCTTGCTATTGTTTTGAGATGTTTTCTTCCTATAGCCTAGATTTGCCTGAGGTTTCATTATTAAGATACAGATTTTTCTCTTTTCAACCCAGAGAATTGGATTCTTACACATTAGAACAGGTTCAATACCATTGTGTTAAGTGAACTGTAACAGTTTGGGAAATTTCCAGCAATGTTAAATTGCTGAAATTTAGCATAAGTTACTATTTTAAAGGGCTAGACAAAGATAGATTTTTAACAAGGCAAATTTTGATCAGGCAAGCACAGTTGCTATAGCTGAAAGTACAGAAATAGTACATACAACTAGACAATCAAAGAGGAAATGTTCTACTTGGGAGCAAGGGAAAGAAGATGTAGGTAGTTATGAAAGTGTAAAAAAGGTGAGTCTTGAAAGGTGAATTTGTAGTCATTGGATTGTCAGAAAGGAGAAGGGAGTTCTAGGTCTACGTTCCGAAGCAGCATAGAGCATTTGCAGTGTTATAGCTTGTTCTGTAGGTTGCAAAAGCTGAAGATCATCTCGTGAAGGTTCTTGTGTGCCATATTTAATCTTACTTTTTAAAATTTAATGTATTTAAATTGAGCAATTTGATAATATACTACTTTTGTAAAGATAATTATCACTGCAGAGAGGATAGATTGGGTAAGTTGGTGATAAAAATCAAGGAGACCAAATAATCCAGACAAAACATAATGGAAGCCAGATGAGAGTGTTAATATGAATTTAAATGGAGACTAATGGATATGAGAGGTACTGAGAGTAGCAGGAGAGTGTGACCCTATAAAGACCTAATTGTATTGGACTATCTTAGTGAATGAGTTTACATTTAGGTTTTAGATAAAGGGGTGAGATTCTTAACCTTGTAATTTTAAAAGTTCACTCTGGTGAGGGCGCATCCCGGGGGGCCAGTGGCGGTGGGAATTCAATAAAACCAGTTAAGGTTGTCCCAGTTGTTATCCACAGAAGAGTGGATACTCAATTGATGTACAGCAGTGGTGGGGAAGGGAGTGAAGGGAGTGGACTTGAGAGAGCTGGAATGTTTGTCAGGACTTAATCACTATAGAACATAGGGAAGGAGGGAAAGGAAAATCAAAATATCTAGGTTTTGAGTAAATGGTGGAATATCATTTATTTGGATATTTAAGCCTAGAAGAGGAGCAGTTATGTGGATGAATGATTGCTTAGGGAAAGAGTGTAGAGAAAAGAATCCAACTCACCTCTGAACAACTCAATACTTTACAGTAGATTAAAAGAGAGGAAAAATTAGGAGACTGGTAGGATGAAAGCTTTTCAAGGTGTGTGCAGTTTGTCACATTCTGCTGAGATAAAGATTGTAAAGTTTACTTTGGGTTTAGTGACTTTTGCAATTACATAGTTTGAAGAGTGTAGGGAACAAGTGTAAATACCTAGTTTTGGACAGTTTAATTGTAAAGGAGAGAGAAGATAGAATGATACCTGGAGGGTGTTATGGAGTCCAGCCAGGTTTGGAAAATTATAGAAAAATTAGCATATTCAAGTACTAGTAAGGAGGATTTGGTAAGGGGGTTAAGATAATGAATAGCTAATATTTGTCATGATAATGTAGAAGGAATAGAGTTGGAGGAAAGTGTTGAATTTGAGGGTTTTTTTTTTTTAAGAAACTTTAAAGATTTATTAATTTATGCAAGCACTGGGTACAGTCAGAAGCGCAGGAGGGCGAGAGAATTCACCAGAGCCAGAGCGGGGAACAGAACAGACAGACTGACAAAAGGACACTGCTGAGGGGAGCAGCGGGCGGCAGGAGTGGTCTGCGTGCCATGTGGGACCCTCACCCTGGGGCTGAGGATCGAACCAGCGCTGCAGAGGCTGCGGGCAGCTTCGCAACCCACTGCTCAACCCCTGCACCACCCGGGAGGCCCACATTTGAGAGTCTTGATTAGATTATCAAGGCAGAGAAGTAATCAGTTCTTTCTAAGGATGTGGAACTGTAGTTCTGTACTTAAAATCCATTGAAGATAAGCGTTCTATCTTTTTCTGTACCCTGAGCATTTGGCCCAGAATCTGAGATAGAGTTTGCACCTAATTCTGCTAGATTGAAAGATGCAACCAGGGAAAAAGATCACCAAGGAGTGAACTATGAAGAATGCCAACACTTAGTGACTTTATTTGAAGACTTTTAAAATAAGTTTTTGTGGATTCTGTGGAGGTGTAGAGTTAGAAGAGAGAAGTTGAAGAACAGTGTGGACAGAACCAGATCCCAATAACAGATTATTACAAAATTGGACACCTCTCAGTCAAGAAATGTTGAGCTCCTTGTCATGAGATGGCAAATAACGTTCTGTTCAACAGCAAGACTTAGAACACTAGAAAATTTGAGATGATGAATAGGAGGAGCTAAATTGGAGATGTAAGAGAAACATACATTCAAGGTTCTGCTGAGTTAGAGCATAATATTTTTTTAAATGATTTACTTATTTATGCATAGAAGAACTGGGGTATAGGCCAGAGGTGCAGGAGGTGAGAGGATTCACTAGGGACAGAATGGGGAACAGAACAGGCAGATCTACTGAAATACACTGGTGAAAGGAGCAGCAAGTGAGACAGGAGAGCTCTGCTGTGCTATATGTGGGTTAGCTCCCTGACAAGGGATCAAACTCAGGCCTTAGTGATGATAGTGCTGAGACTTAACCCCTGTGCCACCAGGGAGGCCCCACTGAGCATAATCTTATGCTCTATAGTTCTAGTTGATTCTTTTCAGTAATAGTCCTCAGTTTGAGTGGAGGAGGAAGAGGGAAATGTTTAGTCTTTGTAGAAATAGTGCAACAATGAATTGAACCTGGCTAGGTTAGGAAACCTAAAGACAGAAGGAAGTGGCCCCGGAACTGGCAGTCTTATAACCTCAGGGTATAATGAGAATAGGACCAAGAATTAGGTATGGAAATTTAAGATTTTAGGAGTAATGCAGTTTGCAGTGTCTGAAAAGGTAGGTTGAAGATTGTGGTAGATTACTAAATTAGACTGTAAATGAAATTTACTGGGGATGAGAAATTTAAAGAATTTTGGTCTGATTTTTTGAATGGGTTGTACCCATTGTAGAACTGGTGTAAGAAGACTGTGTCAGGTGTTGAAGTCTCAAGAAGTTTGGCAGGGAGAGTGCTTCTATCCTATGGTATATGTAAGGAGTTTGGAAAATTTGCTGCTTCAACCAAAATGCTTGGGAGATTCAAGTTTAGTTATATAAAGTTGCAGAATATAAATCTGAAGCAGTAAAGAATGAAAGTTCTAGAGGAAACCTTTTTAATAAACAGGATCGTAGTGCTTAAAGCGGAGAAAGAGTAATTAGTATGAAAATACAGACAGTACAAGAGTGGCTTTTTAGTAGCCAAGAAAGATAAAATCTTTACATACTTTAAGATCAGGACTAAGGTCCTTTTAAAGTTATATTTATTGAGATAATGTTGATTTGCAACACAGTATATGTCTTAGGGGTGTAGGTTTATACCTCTATAATTGTCTTACTTCACTAGGCTCACCACTAGAGTCCCAGCAGTGCTCCATTGGGCCCCCTCTACACTTTGCTTCCTCCTAACTGCACTCACCTTCTGGCAGCCTTAGTCATAGTCCAATGTGTTCTTTCCCCTCTTGTTTTCTTCCCTCCACCCTCTCTTGCCCTCCCCCACCCCCGCTGGATGCCTCAGATCTTTGGTCAACATTCAAGGTTTGTCTTTGATTTTCTGTTTAGTTTCTCTAAAGGAGGCCGCTAAGTATAAATTTCCCCAGCCAAGGTCCCAAGTATCTGATCTGCTAATGATGATAACAGTTAATATGTTTGGCAACTACTATGTGCTAGGCACTCTGCTGAGAACTTTCCCTGTATTTCCATTTATTCTTATACCAACTCTTAAGAGTGAGGTGCTCATATCCCCATTTTAAGATGAGAAAATTGAATAAAGTCTGGAAAGGCAAGGTCTGTAAGGGTCACATGGTTAGTATAAGGGAGAGCTGAGAGTTTAACCCAGTAAACTGACTCCAGAGCTATATGTGCTTTCATCTGGAGATATACACAACTGAATGAGATAATAGGTTGGTCAGTGTTTTTAACTAGAGTCATGCTGTAAAAAACTGTCTTGATAGCAGAAGGGAATTCTCAGGTGATTAGGAAACAAGAATTGATTTGTAGATGATACTGTTTTTTTTTTAACCCAGTTAATTTTTTTTTTTTTTTATGTTTATGGCTTAGTACTGATTCCCAGGGAAGGGGGAGAGGATGAACTTCTTGAGCTATTAAAGAAATGACTGTTGGTGAAGGTAGAGTACACAGAGGAAAGAGAATCACCAGAGACCTTTGCTGCAGTCATATAATCTTAAACCAAAGAAGTTAAGAGTAAAAGAATATTACAATTGTAATGGAGTTAGGTTGTAGTGGAGTTAAAAAGATTCTGTCAGCTTTCAGTCTACTCAGTGTATATTGGGAGCACTATATTTAGAACTTGTAGCCAGAAGTTTGGTTGCTGCTCTCTTAGCAACCAGGTTCTTATGCTCTCCATAGGGCACAGCAAAAGGACGTGCACTGTGCAAGCTACATTTACACATGTTTAATGCAGCCATTCCTAGATCCATTAAATACTCATATCACCCAGGGTCTATTGAAGAAGAGGAATTGGGATCAGGGTGATAATAGCTCTCATATGCTAAGGTCCCCTATAGCAATGAGATTAAATTTTGGAGAAGTCACTGGGATTTTGAAGACGGTTGATTTCAAACTCCTCAGAAGCAGATCACATCAGAAAGTCTTCATTGGAAATGTACCTATGAGTCATCCTCACAAGGGAGTGTCCCTCTTCTTGCCAGGCCAAAGTAACCCCTTTTATATGGGGGTTTCAAAATGTTAACACTTAGATACTTAAGACTGAGAAGGGGGGAGTGATATACCAAAAAAGGCAATCTTAAACAGTTTTACTACACTTTGCAATAATAGAATCCACATATTCAAAGAAGTCATTCTGGTAAATTTTGTATGCTACCACCAAATAGTAGCTGGTAAACTCATTACTTATTTGAGAATAATGAAAAACATCTTCAATGTATTTATTAAACCTACCTAGAGCTACTTAAAACCACCTCAGCTGGAGCATTACAAAGTTTTCTCTCAAGTGTATTTTCCCTAAAGGGATATTTTCTAATCCCATGATAGCTGGGCATTGTTCTAACCTTATTTATGCAATTTAAATCTGGAAAATTAGCTACCCTACTTTATAGATGAAGACAGTGACAGATGGGGAAATTTAATAACTTACAACAGTAGTTATAAGCTCTGACCCCTGGCTCAGAATGCTTTCCCTGCTGTCTTGCTGGCTGAAGTTGTTGCCATTTCAAAGTGAAGGATAAAAGAGTGTAGCAGGATTATATAGGGAAAGTTTTCATTGCAACTGTACAAAACTGATATATTTAGCACATAAGGCAAAATTGTAAGTTGTTATATGGCAAATGTCAATGTCTTAGATTTTTTAAATTTTTAAGTTTTGGAGGAAAAAAGGTCTGCACATTACCAGTGCAAAATGAGAAACTGAAGCAATTCTAGTTTCTTCTAACAAAATCTTTATCCCACTCCAGCTCCCTAGTCAAAGTAGATGAGCCACAAATATGAATGCCAGCAGCTGCCCTGCCGGAATTGAAAAGACCGGAAACATCCAGAATGTTCTGTTACAAAGGTGTGGACCTTTCAAACACAAAATAGTGGTTGGATGTAGATAATCATTAAACTTTAGTTATATATTGGTCTCCCTCCCACCTCCTTCCTTCCATTACTATTTTCCCTCCTTCTCGTTCCTCCTCCTCCTCTTCCCCCCACATCCCAATATTCCTGACAGAAAATCTGAGTTTTGGAACCAAACATGCCTATTACCTGGCTACATTACTTTGTTTGCCTTTTCACTGACCAGGCTATCATGTGTAGGCAATTATCCTCAGAAGTACAGAATTGAGGGGAAGGGCAGACCGAGCCCTCCAGTCTTTGATACATTGGATTGGGCTCTCAGTAGAGTAGCAATCACAAAGATCCTGAAAGAAAGACTTGGGAATCTCAAGACTGAAGTCTGGCTCTATCTAGTAAGAAAAATAGGCAGCATTTAATAAAACAATCATACCATCAGTGCTCTGAGCTCTTTAGCTATCAACACATTTAATCACAGTTGTAGAAAGGAAGCTGGCATTGGCAGATACTGTCAAAGTCACTTTACTTGTGCCATCACCTTATCAGTTCAAGAAACCTATGAGTTGTTAGATAAACAATCCTAGAATACTGCTTGAAGGAAAATTTTTACAGTAGTCACACTATTGTATACATGTGCACACAGAGAGAGCAGATGCAGATTTTATACTGACAATGGGAAGAATGTCACCATTTGGATTTGGTAAAGTCTACATATAAATCCTATTATTACTTCCCCATCTCTCTAGTAGAGGCCATATTCATATTGGTTTCACCAGAATAGTTACATACATTTCTCTTTAGCAAACATACATGAATATACTACTCAAATATTCAGATGTTTTTTGACTATTTGTCTCTCAGAGCATATATTTGAATTAGGTGATTTGCTTCACTTTAGCTGCCAGCATTTGTGCCTCTGACCTAAGGAGAAGTTGGTGTGGGAGTAAAATTGGCAGTGTAACTCGCATGTTACATATAAAAAGTGGACGTGCAAGTGTATAAAGCTCATCAATTTCAAAGACCTAATGTGTTCAGATACTGAGTTGCACAAGAGAGGCCACAAGATGGCAAACTAGCACTGGAAATGTGTATGTATAGCTAAAGTCTAGAATTTGAATCAGAAATTCTTTCCATTGTGTTTTATTTATACTTGAGAAAGGACATGGGGCTAATATGTAGTGGTCATTTATATTTTTGAATGCTTATGGTAGGTTGAACAATTATTGAAATGCACAGTTTAGTTGTTGGTCCATTTTAGGATGAATAGACCACTGTGAGGGAAATAAGCAAAAGCTAGCTTGCATGGATCATACATATTTAATTGTCTAATAAAGTTTTTAAAAACTGGGTGTAACAGTTATCTGTGGAATACCCTAATATTTCAGAGATAGTTGAGACAATTTCATATCAAAAAAATTCTGGCAAACTACATTTGGTGTTTTAAAAAAACTGAATTCTTATTGTCACTTCATGTACCATTAGGCAAGTCAACTTAACATTGAGCTGTCTTACCATTTGTATTTTTCAGATTTCTTCCAATTCCAGAATACTGTGATTTTTTTAGTTTATAAAATATAGTTATGCTGTAAGGTTCATGAATACATTAATTATTGCTGAAGACTATTGTAGGTTAAACCCTGAAGGTATAATGATGAAGGGTGTGACTCTTGCCTGTATTCTTAGGGGGACATTTGGAGAGGGATACAAATGTATAAGCAAATAATAATATATGGATAAATGATGTAATGAAGTCATGTATTGTTAATTACAATATCTGACATTTTAGATTAGCCTCTGTGTGCCAGTGCTTTGCATGGATAACCTATTTTGTACAACGATCCTGTGAGGTAGGTAGTATTTCCATTTTACTTTAAAAATTTGCTCTCTGCTAGACTATTTGATCCAAGTCTTGAATAAAATTTCTCAAGATAGATTAAAGAAGATTGATAGCATACAAAATAGCAAGTTCCTTAAGTGTCACTATATTGCCATGATTTTAAAGAAGTTAAATGTAATAGCTAATTCTATTAAACTGCCTAAATTGTTTATTGAGGTGTATTGTTAGTGCACATGAAATTTTGTTTTTAAAGGTGGTCGTCTGTTATTTAGGACTCTTTTGTGGTATCAGGTCTACAGAGTGATATAACCAATATGAAGTGTTACTTTGCCATTTCCCAATGTGTGTTCTAGAGATGTAGGTTCTTGGTATAACAACCATAGGATCTTGGGGAGTTCAAAGAAAATTTGGAGGTCATCTGGCTATGTATCCCATATAATTCAGGAATATTCTTGATCCTACCTTTATGTGTTCAAGTTCTCACTAATATATCGAGTAATCATTTATTTCATTGTGAAGCAGTTCAATTTTATAGAGCATTTCCATATTATGTGAAAATCTTTATTTCATGTGATCCATTTGTCCTGATTCTGCAACATTGGAATATAAAATAAGCTGTGTCATTAAGGAAATCATTCACTAGTAGGAAAATCATTCCCTATAGTCTGGTCACAAATTTCTGCTAACATAGTACTGAATTAATTTTTTTCAGTGGTCTCATACTATACTTTACTAATGCTAAGGTGATAGTGAAAACTCCAAGGACATTATGTTATGAACTAAAATCAATCCTGGTCCCATTTAAATTTTAAATTTTGATGCAGAATGTCACTTCCATCTCATCTGACTTGTTCTGAAAAAATTGCTACTGAGATTTACTCATGTTTCGTTTCTGCTATTTACTGGTCATTTCTTTTGTCTTTAGTAGCTATAAAAGTGTGTCCTTTGTGTTTTCATCCCAGTCACTAACATGATTTTAGTGAAGAACTGCTTGGGGCTGTAGTAAAAGAGACCAGACAATGACTTAAATCAGATAGCAGTTCAATTGTCTTTCACAAAACAACAACAACAAAACAGTTTAGGACTGATGCAGGAATTCCATGAAGGCATCAAAGTCCTAACAACTCTTTCTGTACTTTCAGAAGCTTTTGCTTTCATCTTCAGAGTCACCTCATGGTAGAAAGTTGTTCGTTGCAGCTCTAGTTAAATGTCTCAGGCAGGAAGGGGAGCAAAAAGATGCATGCAAGCTAGATCAGTCCTACTTTTTTAGTAACTTTGTTCAAAAAAGTCTTGTTTTGACATGAAGGTAGTCACACTGCTACATCTGCATGCAAAGACTTGGAAATGTGCTTTCTACTTGGATATGTCATCTCCAACAAACTTGGAATTCTTTCAGTACAGAAAAGTAAATGTTGGGTAGATAGAAGAGATAAGAGGGACACAGATTTTGGTCCCCCAAGAAACACTGAGCTGCTAATTATCAAGGACCTAAAAGCTGTGAATATATAAAGATATATGGAGATGAACCAGACAACATTCTTGACCTTAGCCACATTCAGTAATTTAATGTCATCAATTTAATATAGTTTGAAAGCACTCTTCTACAAAGAAAGTTGGTTTATGGAGTTTGCTAAGCTTCCACAGAAGGTCAAATCTCAAATTACTACATTTACTCTCCTTTGAGATAAATTATTTATAAACAAAAGCACTTGGCCTACCTACTGAAAAAAAACTTCTGTTAGAAATAGGGGATTGAATAGCTTTGGTTTAGTTAATGACATACTGATAACAAGAATGTAGAAACTATTGCTTTATGTTTGTCTTTTATGGCCGTAATCTAAAGGATAAGAATCTAGACTCTAAAGAAAGAGTAACAAAGACAAAAAAAAAAAAAAAAACATTTGCATAATGGATAATTCGACAATGCAAAATACTCATAAAAACTAGTGAATACTAATATGAAGTCAAGCTTCAGAAGTTAAGAGTAAGAAAGGGCCTGGGGCATCCCTGGTGGTGGAGGGGTTAAAGATACAGTGCGATCAAGCTATCGCCAGCCACTACAGCAGGAGTTCCACCCCTGGCCAGGGAACTAACCCACATGACTCAGCAGACCTCTCCTGTCTCGCCCGCTGCTCCCCTCAGCAGTGTATTTCAGTGCAGTTGCCTGTTCTGCTACCTACTTTGGTGAATCCTCTCCCCCACACACCTCTGTTCTATACCCCAATTCTTGTATGCATAAATAAATCTTTTTTTTTTTTTTAAAGTAAGAAAGAGTCAAAGGGGTTAAGGGATAGTGTTGGGGGAAAAATGAGTAATTGACAGTGGTGCCAAGAGACATAGAATCTAGTTGTGTCTTGGACACCAACTAACTAATCACTTTGGGTAAATCATCTACCTACTCACTTTACTTGAACATTAGTATTTTAGTAGTTTATAAATGTTTAAAGAAACTCCTCCCCCATCTCTGCCCCTTTAATGTAATCTTACTTCAAATCATAATGCCGTCTGTCTGATAATCTTAAAGGTTCAGAGAAATTCTTGAATAAATGATAGTCTTCATAGGGAAGTTGTTTATTAAGACTCACTGGACAGTGAAAACAAGATAGATCTATGGAAAATTTCCCATACTCTGTACAATCACCAGCTGTCTTTTACAGCTGAAGGAATTTTTTCTCTGTGAGAAAAGACTCAGTTTAATATTAAAGAGCTCCCAGACAGTCTCACCCAGAACATCTCCCTTGGGCTTGTGTCATAAAAATTCAATTGAATGCTGACATTTTTCCCCTCTATGTGCTCCACCACTGCTTTCCTCACCAATTTTTTTTTGGGGGGACCCTCGCCAGTGGCTGGGGATCGAACTGGCGCTGCAGAGGCTGCAGGCAGCCTTGCAACCCAGCGCTCAAACTGCGCCACCAAGGGAGGCCCCTCACCAATTTTTTAAGGGAAGCAAAATGTCCTCTTTTTTGTGCTCTATGCAATATTAAATAAACAAAATTCAGGTAGGACTAGATTTCGCATTAATGTTTAAGAAAATGTTATATGCATATGATAGGATGTGAACTAGAGAAAGGAGAAACATATATAAACACACACACACACATATATATATATATATATATATATATATGTGTGTGTGTGTGTGGTGTTGATCCATTGGTCCTGAAAAAGGGAAGGGTATATTCAAGAGAAGCATTCTCCCTCTATTTTCTATTATACAGGAAAGAAATGTATTAAGAAAATTGTTTTATTAGGCCTCTTTTAGTTGTAAGACATAGGAATTCAATTTAAACCAGCTTAAGCAAAACTGGAGAATTTATCTTCCATGTACTAAACTGCAGAAAGGGTAATAGTGGGGTAATCTTGGGGAGGGCAGGATTGAGGAATTCAGACCACCTTTGGTCAGCCTTCTTTAGTTGTCCTCTGTCTTTGTAGTCTCTAGCTGAAGGAAATTGGCTAACTTTCCTTGGGAAGATTGGAACCACAGTCACCTGCAAGTATTCTTGCATACAAGTACTCAAAAACATTTTCCCTCAGACTCCAATTAAAGAAATCTTGTGTCCAGAGGTAAGACTCTGTGACCAGAAAGATTGCGGGATAAGTGCTAGGGAGTCAAACTGAAAGTCAGGAATGACTTGAAATTAGGAAGACTGAACTGGGAGACCTGGTGTGGTGAGAAAATATTTTAAGGAAGACATTGCTTGCCAATTCACATCTAACAATTGTTAACTTTGCTTTCACAAGATATATATTCCTGAAAAAATTGAACTGCCATTTGAGTTTCACTATCCTCATCTCTAACGTTACTTTCCGCTTTGTGAACACCAGGAGATTATGAGATTGTAAGGGGTCAAGTGAGATGACAATGTAAATGCAGGAGACAGGTATAAGACCCTCCATCCCATTTCCATGGCTGTGATCCTTAATGGAGGTGAACATTTTCTTGAGGCAGGAATTATTATAATTGCTCAATGAATATTTTGATAAATAATAAAGATGGCAAAATTTAGCTGCCAATTTCTCTCAACCAGATTCTTTTGGCGTTCGCTGATACTCAGAGCCTCTGGAATGTTCTTAGGAAACTCATTTTGTAAATTAAAGGAGAAAAAAACCATTCACCTTCCTATCTAAATTTCATTTTCACAGCCCTTACTCCAATTTCAGTCTTCTCTCTACATGTGTACTGGAAAAGCAAGGAGTGTACATGTCTCAGCAATCCTTTAAGCTTGCTGTTGTAATTTACATGAAGAGTCTGAACAACTCCAAAGCTTTTTCTAGTAAACTCATCCTTAGGCTAAAAAATTTCCTCTCCCTATCAGTTCTGTGCACTAAAACCCTAGGTTTTATAGAGTCTACGCCATGGTCAGGTTCTCAAAAATCTTAAATGTTTTTCACTACTTACCACCATTGAAGATATTCCTTTAAGTCAGTCAGTGGTTACCTGCACTTGTGAAGTCTAGATGTTTTCAAGTCAAATGATAAAGTACATAGATGTAGCTCACATCTGTGATCTGTGATGTACATTAAACAGTTAAACCACAAAGTTTGCACTCCTGTCTATTGTCCAGAAAAGAGTCTTTATAATAGGTTATAATCACTGTTGATGACATGGTCTGTTGGCTACATTATGGCATAAATAACGTTATCTTCATTATGTATAAATTGTAATTAGACATTTTATACTAATGAAGGCAGAACATGGAAGACATGACCTAATTGATTTTTGTTAAAATTACATTTTTATGTCCTGACTTCTCCTCAAAAAATTCCCAGTGGAAAAGAATGATTTCTGAGCTATCTTTACCAAGCAGAGTTGAAAATCTTGTTCTAAAATTGTCGTAACAAATTTTCTTTCACAGAATAACCATGCCCAGTATCGCCAAGTAGTGATATCAATGACAGTCAAATGACAACACAAAACCACTACATTTTTATTCTGGAGTAATGTACAGGTGTTAGCATGATAAATCAAAAAAATGGGATAGTAAAAGAAAGCTATAATCTTCAAATCAAGAGATAATAACCATCTTTATTTTTTATCTTTTTGCACCAATGTTACAGCATAGTACACATTAAATCATCTGTTCCAGAAAAAGAAGTGCTAGAAAATTAGAGGCAAACTGTGACATATATCATTAATTCCTGATTATAAAAAGATCCAACAATATGGAAATTTACAAAGCAATTCAACATTCTATGGTTAATTATTAAGTAATCATTGGTTGGAAACTTTCTGGGGCCTCATCTGCTGCTTGCCAATGTGCTTTTTTTTTCTGTGGGAGCTGCATTCTGATAGCTCTCAAGTGACACTTTCAGATGTCTGCTAATTCAGGCATTAGTGGGATAGCTTCCATAGTATTTGTACTTAAATTGGAGGCCACTACATGATGGCTTTCTTCCCTCTCCTGTAGTCAACTCATACCTAGGAATATCTAAACTTGATAGTTTCCTGGGCTCAGTGGTGTTTTCTCCAGACTGGGCCTTGCTGGGAGCCAGGGTTGGCTACTGCCCTACCCTCACTGTTGTCTTTCTCTACAAAGACTGAGAAGAACTGAGTGAGTGGAGGCTTCACTGACAGTTTGGAAAGATCGCCAGTCCCCAATTGCAGCTTGGAGGCAATCACTTTTGTCCAAAAAGTCACTTTTTCTATTTTCCAGTTGACAGATCTAGGCACTTTAAAGAATGCTGTTAGTTGAACTTCTTCAGATTAGTTTATAATTTAACTTTTCAAACATACCTCCTGTGTCCACATGAACCCTACAACAAAACAATGAGATCTCTGTCTGATGTATGCAACTGAGAACATATTGAAAAAATTTCACAATCCTCTCAAATGATATTAAGGCTAACATTCTTTGATTTCCAACCCAGCAAAAGGTCTTAGGAGGAATGCAGGTTTTCTTTGTTTAACCCTCTCGTGTGTCACAGAGTAGCTTTGTCTCACCTGTCCGGGCAGTGCTTGTGGCTGAATCTGAATGGTGGCTCTGCAGTAGGGGAGGGGCCCCTGTCTCACCACATTCAATGAATTTGAGGTTGTGGCACTCGCATCCTGGGGACTTGACTTTTTTAGAGTATTTTTGGACACAGCATTTAATAAAGCACTTGAGAACCAAAAAGCTCAGTTCAATCATATTCAACACAATGCACAAGCATGAGGTAATGACCAAGAAGAGGATGAAGATTGTTTTCTCAGTGGGTTTGGAGATGAAGCAGTCCACTGTGTTGGGACAGGGCTTCAAATCACACTTCAAAAGGTAGGGAACACTAAAGCCATTGTACAGCTTGTAAAATAAAACCAGGAAGCCAATTTCAAAACCGGTCTTAACAATGAGGCTGATAAGGTAGGTATACCACAGACCCCCATCCATTGTACCTGTGCTGACATAGAGTTTCTTTCTGTGTCTCTTCTCTCTGCCCTCACGATAGGCTACATGTAGAACCACCAGAAGGGAAGGTGTGGAGACCATGATCAGTTGTAATGCCCAAAGTCTGACTTGGGAGATGGGGAAGAAGTCGTCAAAGCATACATTTTCACAACCAGGCTGTCTAGTATTGCACTCAAACTCTTTCTGCTCATCTTTCCACACATGCTCTGCTGCCACCATGTAGATCAGCAAGCGGAAGATAAACACAACAGCCAGCCAAATCCGTCCAATCCCTGTGGAATATTGATTTACTCCACTCAGGAGGTCTCTGAGGAACATCCAACTCATGATGTAGGCTCAGAAGAAGGCAAGACTGAAAAAAAAAAATTCATAGTGATGGATCTAGTCCATTGATCATTTCTACTGTTTAATTATGGGAGTATGGAAGATATACTCCACTCTCTAAGTTACTGCAACCCTAGATGTTGAGGGATCTCTAAGAATCTCATAGGATGTCCTCATTTTTGTATGATATGACATGACTGGTTCATAAACATAGTTGAACCCACTCCAAGTTTAATTTGAAATTTGATCATCCCTCACATTTTCAAACAGTTCCATGGTTGGTATTGCTTCTCTCTAAGGATGGATGAATTCTGTTGCTGATTTAGAAAGTATTAGATATAAGTTCCAAGATTTATTTTTATTTATGCATACAAGAACTGGGGTACAGGCCAGAGGTGCTGGGGGTGAGAAGGTTCACCAGAATGGGAAACAGAACTGGCAGACTGACTGAAATACACTGCTGAGGGGAGCAGCAAGCGAGAGAGGAGAGGTCTGCTGCGCCATATGGGTAGCTCCCTGGCCAGCTGGGGATTGAATTCATGCTTCAGAAGCTGAGGATAGCTTCATAGTGCTGTGCTTAACCCCTTGTGCCACCAGGGAGGCCCCTGTTTAATTTTTCTAGGACAATTGATACTGTTGCTTGCACTTGAAACTCATTCAGTCTACACTTCCATTCTGCCATTCTGCTTTCTCTTTCTGTTGTTCTCTTTCTCTTGATTGTGCCATCTTAGTTTTCTTTAACTTTTTGAAAACTCTCATGGCATACCTCACTCTCCCTGGTATATCTCATTCATTCCAGGGAATTCAATCAGTGCTTTCAGGTTCCTAACTCAAATCTTTGGCTCCTCACCAGACTTCCAGAGGCTTCTAGTTTTCATCTAAATGTCTCACAGGCATCTCAAACTTGATATATCTACAGAGTGAGTTTATTATCTGTCCTACTCTTTGATTCTCTTCTCTTACTGAATGGCATCCCCAAAACCCAAGCACTCAAGTTGGAAGTATATATACATCCTGAACGCCTCTCATGTCCTTTTTAAATTGCTCACCAGTCCTCTGACACCTCCTAAATATCTCTGAAAATCATCACTGAATCATGGCTGAAACATCTCCTACAGTCCTCCCAGTAATTTTTATTCCAGTTTCATCATTTTTCCCTCTCCCCTCCTAGTATATCCTTAATGATTTTTTGTTTGTTTAGAGAAAGAAAAGGTTTATTGAGAAAAGGAACAGAAAGAAAGTCAATGCTGTTTAATTCTCTTCCACCTCTTTGTTGTTATCCCTGTAAAAGATGATGAAAATGAAAATGGGACTTTTTTTTTTTCCAGTGACACTGGCTTTCTATCAGTAGTACTCTCTGCTTTTGTCTTGTCTTATAATTGAATCCGTGTGGGCTGGGCCTTGATTTTTGGGCCCAGCAACACTCTCTGTTCAGTACTCTTGGTCTCACAACCAGCCTGAAATATTGGGGTTTTTGTTTGTTGTCATAGTGGTTTTACTGAAGATGTTTGTTTTGTTCTTTCAAAAGAGAAGAGACTAAAAACTTAAGTCATGTCCCCAAGATCACAAAATAAGATCAAAACTGGATTCAAACCTAACATCCATTACTTTAAAGTGGAGTTTCTCAACATTGGCACTTCTGATATGTTGGACTGTATAATTCTTTGTTGTAGCATCTGTCCTGTCAATTGTAGGGAATTTAGCAGCATCCATGGCCCCTACCAACTAAATGTCAGTGGACCCCCCCCCCACTTCCATTTGTGACAAGCAAAAATGTTTCCAGACACTTCCCGATATACCCTGGAGAGAAGAGGTAAAATATCAGTTGAAAACCATCTGTTCAGCTGCGGTAGAGGACTATAGTGCTTTGGTGGTTGGTGCGCTGCAGTGATGATACCTGAAGGGGGAGATACTATACGTCCAAAATATGTTCAAGGGTATAAACCAATGGTACTTCAATTAAAAAAAAAAATTAAGATTTTTTTAAAAGCCTCTGAAATAAAGCAAAAAAGAAAGATCATTTGCTCTTTCTCCTATAATCAGAAGATGTGGGCTAGGGCACCAGATTTGCCTCTAATATACTCAATTTCTCTGGTGAAAACATTGCCATTTCAGGTCCTGTTTCTTATTACAAAAATTAACTACCACTCGCTTTCTCAACAGACTCATCTAAAAGAGTATCATGGAGATGATAGTGTGAAGGGAACCAGAGGGTTAAAAATAATGGGATATTGTTATAATGGCACACCTGTCAGGAGCAGGTCACGTTATCTTTTACAGAGGGAACAATATAGCTAGACCACATGCTAGAGCCCCGAGGACATGTAAGAAGGTTAAGATGTGTTTTCAGAGAAAACAAAGATGTATGTACACAATGCTCTATTCAGCAGGAAATAAATACTTCAATGTCCTTGGTTTTCAGAACACAAACAAAATTGTATTAAATAGAAAGTTTTTTCAAATCCACCTGAAAGGTTAATGTCTCCATGATTTATTAAAACAAAGTCCCAAAGATTAAAAAGGGAGGAGGAGATATTATGTTTCCATATGACATATGTCACTGGGCATCTGTCCTCATTACTCAAGAGGCTATTTATGTAATGTTACAAAACCTTTGAAAGTACCCTGTTGGGCATTTAAAAAAAGGAGGAAGGTAAGAGCAGGCCAAGATTGTTTTGCTAAAAGAAAAGCTGTAAGAAAGAGATTGGCTTTTGAGTAGAATCAGAATCTTGACTGATGCTGCCAAATCTGTCAGGATTATGAATTTTGTTTGACTGATAAACATCCATCTATTTTGAAATTCTTTGCTGATGGAAAGGCAATGACTTTTCTCGGGAGGGAGAGGCATTCTAATGTTAGTTAATTTTGAACAGGGGTGGTTGAGCATAGTGAATAAGAGTTGGCACAGTGTTGGACTTGTTGGCTGCAACTCCAGGTTCATCTGTGATGACATAGTAGCTACTTTATGGGGCATAAAGCAGAACCTGGCACATGGTAGGTGCTTAACAAGCATTATTATTTTATTTACTATTAAAAATCTCTTAATGTCTAAGTAAAGCCTTTCTGGTTACAAGTTAAATACATTGTTTGTTTTCCCCTCTATCGGTCTATTCCTGTGAAGGTGGAGAATAGCTATTCAGGAATATCCATGTATAAATCCCATTAAGCACTTGAAAGCAGTGAAGTAATTAGCTTAATATTTTATCTCTTAATAATTTGGATTGTCTCACTTTTAATAAGGATCTGCCTTCAATTATTCTTCATCTTAAAATACCCAGGATTACTCCCAATTTTTAAAGTTTCCACTTACTGTTCTAAGGGATCAATTCTTTTATGACTTTCTCCTTTCTCTTAAGAAAGCAGCTCAGGGGGCCTCCCCGGTGGCGCAGCAGTTGAGCGCTGGGTTGCGAAGCTGCCCGCGGCCTCTGCAGCGCCGGTTCGATCCCCGGCTGCTCTCTGGCTACTGGAGGAGGGTCCCACATGGCACGCAGACCTCTCCTGCCGCCCGCTGCTCCCCTCAGCCGTGTGCCTTGGTGCCTCTGCCTGCTCTGCTCCCTGCTCTGGCTCTGGTGAATTCTCTCACCCTCCAGCGCTTCTGACTATACCCAGTGCCTGTATGAATAAATAAATAAATCTTTTAAAAAAAAAAAGAAAGCAGCTCAGGGCCTCCCCTGGAGCAGCGGTTGAACGCTGTGTTGCGAGGATGCCCGCAGCTTCTGCAGCGCCAGTTAGATCCCTGGCCACCGGTGAGGGTCCCACCAAAAAAAAAAAAAAAAAAAAAAAAAGAAACAGCAGCTCACTGCTGCGTAAGTATTTACTTAGAAAAATTAAATAAATCCGGTGTTTTCAGAAAGTAAAATATTCAATAATCCCAGTATCAAAATACTTTTGGAAGTTAACAATGTACAAAATTTTACCTGAAAAAAATTAAACCTAGTGAAAAAGAAACACTAAGAAATTAAAGTTATCACTTTCATATATGTGTATCTGTTTTTGTAACAATTGAACAAGGCTGTATTTAGAGTAAATGCATACAAATCAAACATCAATATAGACGGAGAAGGTTGTCATGTAGGAGAATCGTGGTGAATCCTTTTCACTTTTTTTTTTTAAAGATTGATTTATTTATACAAGCACTGGGTACAGTCAGAAGTGCGGGAGGGGGAGAGAATTCACCAGAGCCAGAGCGGGGAGCAGAGCAGGCAGAAGGACCGAGGTACACTGCTGAGGGGAGCAGCGGGTGGCAGGAGAGGTCTGCGCGCCATGTGGGACCCTCCTCCAGTGGCCGGGGAGCAGCTGGGGATCGAACCTGCGCCGCAGAGACTGCGGGCAGCTTCGCAACCCAGCGCTCAACCGCTGCGCCAGCGGGGAGGCCCCTTTTCTCTCTTTCTTGCCTTTATATGTGTTAATGGCTCCCCAAATTATATATTTCCAGTCCACACCTCTCGTTTCTGAGCTCCAGCTGCCTCACGTCATCTCCACTAAGATGCCAACAAACCTAAAATGTCCAAAAAGTGACAAAATTCTTCCTATGATTTACTTTACTCTCCACCTTAGCCCAAAGCACTGCTCTTCCATGAGTGCTCTAAGTCTTAGTAAGTTACACCACCATCCACCCAAATGTTAAAGCCAGAACCATTGAAGTTATTCATCTTCTCTCTGCCCCAAACCCCACAGTCAGTCTATATTCAAGTCCAACAGTTTCTACTTTTGAAATGTATCCCAAAACTTTTCACTTTTTTCATCTGCACCCTAATCCATATCACCATCACCTCCTGCCTGGTATAACACAAGCAATTCTTATCTCTCCCTCATTATTGGTCTTCTCCAACCTATTCTCCATACCATAACCAGATTTACATTTAAATGGAAATTTTGTGGGCCTCCCTGGTAGCCTAGGGGTTCTCAGTGCTATCACCTCTATTGCCTGTGTTCCATCCCAGCCTGGGAGCTAACCCACATGGCTCAGCAGATCTCTTCTGTCTTCCCCGCTGCTCCCCTCAGCAGTGTATGTCAGTAGATCTGCGT